TTAGAGATAAGAGTCTCATGGACTTTCTTGCCCAGGCTAGCTTTGAATCACGATCCTCAGATCTCAGATAGGATTACAGGTATGAGCCACCAATACCTAGATTTTACAGAGACTTTTCTCAGCCTCTGTGAGTGACCTGCACAAGACTCGGTCTCTGGTCTGGAATGCCTGCCGTCCCTCCCTTTCTTGGCATCTTTTCTCTCCCCTGCCTTGCTTGTTTCTCTGCCCCTCTCCTGCAGCCTGCTTGGCTGTTTTCTCAGCTTTGTTCACCCACTGTTAAGTTATTAACTTGTCAGGGTGTAGACTCCCTGCTTCCTTTCTCTTTGAACTCCAGTTGGCTCCCTTCCTGTTCGCTGCCTTCCAGTCAGCATTTAGAAGGCCAGGGTTACTCTGCAGGTCAGTATTGGCAAGCACACAGAATTACAATTAACATTGGTATAAAATGTGGAAGACTTCTTAAAAGACATGGATACAACTGGAAAAGGAATAATAAACACATCAGTATCTCCGGTTTCTGAGATGTAAGCTTAAAATAGACTCTAATCGAGGTAATTTCTCTAAGAGGGTTTGTTTTAAAGGGCTATCTCCATACCTATTAAAACAAAACTACCGGATTTTTTGCAAGTTAATTCACAGATTCAATTAAGATCAGAAATGTCCTTTTATTTTTAAAGCAAACTCCAAGAAATAGACAAGTTGTTTTAAGGAAGGTCTTACTACTTGGAGGCATGCAAATTTTGTCTGGTTTTTTATTTTGTTTTGGTGCTTTTACTGGGGCGAGAGAACTCAGAGCCTCACATTCCCCTTGGCTGTTTCACTCAAGACTGGCACTCTGCCACTTGAACCATTGTTCCACTTCTGGCTTTTTGCTGGTGAGGTAGAGATGAGTCTATCAGATTTGTCTGCCTGGGGTGGCTTCAAACCATGCTCCTCCGATCTTAGCCTTGCTAGTAGCTAGGACTATAGATATGAGCCACTAGCACCTGGCTTGTCTAAGATGATTTAGAGAGATCTGTAGTAGTTCTGTAATTGAGTGATTAACCGCTACCTAGGACAGCTAAGTCATGAATTCACTAAATTAATTGACTAAATTAATTGACTAAATTAATATCCTAATGATGATTTTTTTTTTGTCTAAAGACATGATTAAGGGAGAAAAGTAACATTCTTGAGCACTTGTCAGGGACAGATCTTTTAAATATATTGCTGTATTTAGTTCTTCGGATTCTTCAAGTTACTTAAATGTCCCATTTTATAAACAGAAAAAGCAGGGCCCAAATGCAATAATTTCTCAAAGTACATACGTTTTAGGGTGGCAGATAATATGTAAGTACTGATTTTCATGATCAAACATAGATAAGCAGTAGTCATTGTATTAATCATAATGTAGGTTGGCTACTTCTAATCTGAAATCTAAAATGCTCTAAAACAGGAGCATGTATGGTGGCTCATACTTGTAATTTTTGCTACTCAGAGGAGGTAAGTAGGAGGAGCACAATTCAAGGCATGTCTGGGCAAAAAGCTCAAGACCTTACCTGAAAAGCAAAGCAAAAATGGATAGAGATATTGGTCTAAGTTGTAGTGAACTTGCCCAGAGCACAAGACCCAGAGTTTAAAGCCCTGGTACTAAAACAAACAAACAAAAAAAGCCAGGTGCCAGTGGCTCACACCTGTAATTCTAGCTATTCAGCAGGATGAGACCCGAGAACTGTGGTTTGAAGCCAGCCTTGGCAGGAAAGTCCATGAGACACTTATCTCTAATTAACCACCAGAAAGCTAGAAGTGGCGCTGTGACTCAAAGTCATAGAATACTAACTAGCCTTGAGCAAAAAGCTCAAGGACTGCACCTAGGTCCTGTGTTGAAGATCTCACAACTGACAAAGAAAAAAGAGAGAAAGAAAAAAGAAGAAAGAAATGCTACAAAATCCCAAACTTTTTGAGTGCCAATATAGTACTACAAGTGGAAAATTGAACAGTTGCACTTGTATGATAGGAAGGTCACAGTCACAATGCAGGTGCAGTAAAAATGATGTATAAAAATTACCTTCAGGCTTGTGTGTGTAAGGTGTATAGGAAACAAATGAATTTTGTGTTTTGATATGGGTCCCATTCCCAAGATCTTTATATTATATGCAAATATTCATGAATTTTTGAAATCTGATATTCTTCCATGGCCAAGCATTTTGGATAAGGATACTGAATCTGTAGTGGTGAGGGGCATGGCATCTTGATGGTGTGAGGAGCCTTTGTTTATGCTATGTTTATCCCTATGATTGTTGCAAATATGATGGTTTTCATGTCGCAGAAGAAGGAAAAGCCTTCAAGACATTAAGTGAAGTGTGTAGTCACACAGCCATTCAGTGGTTGTGGTACAATCCAGCTCCATCTCACCCTCATTTCCACTCTGTATAAATTCACCTTGTTTTGTCAAGATTAAGACAATTCCCCAATCCCAAGAACAGGGTCTAAAGCATGGCATACTTGTCTTCCTAATGTTGTTGTATGTCCAGTCGCCTCCTAGTATTCCTGTTGAGCCAGAATACAAAATATTTATGTAATCTTTAATTCTTGTTATCTTGTTAGTGAGGAAAGAAGCATCAAGTATTTCTAGAAGTTTATGTTTAGTAGGATACTGTCTTCTCTGTCAAGACTCTCTCAAGAACTCAAGATTAGCCAAATGTCCTAAGTTGTTAAACTAACTCCTTCACTTAATCTACTGAGAGTTCTTTCCAAGTTGAGTAAAGTTGGTAGATTTCAATGTATAATTCTAATTTGTTATTGTTGTTGTTTAAGCTTAGTCTCACAAGGGCGGGGAATGTCCAGTCCAAGGACTGATACAGGCCACAAAATCATTTGGTACATGCTAGAACAGATATTCATGCTTCTCATTGGCTGCCCATGGGACAAATGTATACATCTACCTGTATTAGTCATTTTTATAATGCTGTTATGAATATCCTAATAGCTCTTGATAGAAAAAAGTTCCCCACCCATATAGAAACAAAATAACAGAAGACAGCCTGATGCAAATGGGCATGGTAATAGAGATGTGAGCCGAAATAAGAATAAGGTGACAGAAAGAAAGAAAGAAAGAAAGAAAGAAAGAAAGAAAGAAAGAAAGAAAGAAAGAGAAAGAAAGAAAGAAGAGAGAGAAAGAGAGAGAGAGAGAGAAACAAGAAAAGGAAATGGAGGTCCAGAAACAGAGCAACCAGAAGCTGTTTCATTATTTCACACTGTCTGTCTTCTATAACTATCACAGTGAGCATTATTAGTTATTCTTTCTCATTATGATATAGGGACCAAATACTCATGAAAAGACCTAATACCAAATGATTATGGTTAATATCTTTCATTTAGGAAAGGAAGTGGCTATGAACTATCCAAGAATGATTTCAGGGCCCTCTGGGTTATTTCCCTTTGTATTCTCAATGCACAGCTCCTGGCACATGTTGAACATCCCTAATTCAGAAATCTAAAATCTGAAATGCTGTGAAATCTAAAGCAGTTTAACTGATGACATAATGTGATATGTAGAAAATTCAATACCATGAAGTTTTGATTTATGTAAAGATGATTTAAAATATTTATACATGTACTTTAAGCCTATGTGTATGTGGTGTATATAAAACATAAATAGATATTTTAAAAGTTGGTCGTACTAGGGCTCATGCTTTCTCAGCCTCATTGCTATTTTAGCCAGTTGAGCCACACCTCCAGCCTGGCTTTTTGTTGGTAATTTTTGGAGATGGAGTCTAGTGAATTTTTCTGACCAGGTTGATCTCACACTATAATCCTCCAGATCTCAGCCTCCTGAGTATCTAGGATTATAGGCATGAACCATAGGTAATCAATCATAAATTTTGTATTGACTTGTTTTCCATCTCCAAGATAATTTCTTACATGTGTAAGAAATCCCAAAATCCAAAATAAAATTGTAAATCTTACATACTTCTGGTCTCAAGCATTTTAGATAATAGGTATATAACCTATAGGTGGCCACTAATGTTAGATGATGAAATGGCAAAGGACTTGTTTTCTGAGGGTTCTGAAAAGCTTAGCTTTGCTGCGGTCACCTTAGGAAGCTGTGTTCCTAGATATCTTCTAGGGTCAGATCTCTGACAGCTCAGTGGTTTACTCTGTTTTTAAACATGATTACATAATACCAAGGTTCCTTTCAAAAAATAAAAATAAAGCATCATAAAAATTATTCATTTATATTGTAGCCACTCTTATCATCATTGTCCACATTGACAACCAGATTACATCTCCTGGGATACATTTGAAGTCTAATGGCTAGAACTAGGGTAGAAGCATATTTAACCAGCTCTTTCCAAGTGAGTCAGGGATCCAGAAGTCCTCTGTGATCTTCAGGCTATCCCTTATTCCAGCCCAACTCATAGAGACTGAGCCCTGAATAAATCACTATTGCTCTAGAATAAGAGATAGTCTATTTCAGAGATTCTTAGGCAGCCAAAAGACACAGATTGTGTCTTTGTGTTCTGCATGCTGCGTTCCTCAGACAGCCAGAGGCCCAGCTTCCTGCGCTGCTGCGAGCACCTGGCCTCCCTTTCCGCACAGAGCCTCTTATTTTACAGGTCATGGCCATTTTGAACATGTAGATCCACTGACCTGCTTAATGAGTGCAGTTTCTGCACAAAAGCCCACATGCCCCTGTTACCCAGCAGCCACAGAACATGTCTGGGGACGGGAGCCTCTGCCATCCTCTCTACCCTGAGGGATTTCTGGCCTTAACTCCTGGTGGAATTAGCAGGCCTTAGCCCTAAATCCCTAAGGCATCCATCAGCAGACAGAGCCAGGCTGCCTTTGAAAGAAGTTCACTGACCCCTTGTTAACTTAACTCCTTGTTAGGAAATACCTAATCAGCTGTGAGCAGACTGTGAAGAGGCCAGGGTCAGCAGAAGCTGAGGGCAGGGGTGGGTTGAGTCTCTGACAGCATGCTGTCTGGTGTCTGAGCTGTCTGTTTTGGTTTCCCCTTTCAGCTATCTTTCAGATCATTCAGAGCATAAGGATGGGCATGTGAGAAGGTCCGGGCATCCGACATTGCCACCCTCCCGCCGGCGGGTGGAGGACCGCGGAGGCCTGCAGTGGATATTTGTGGGACGCAAACCAATGGAAAGGAGGCTCCTACCACTTCCTCACAGAAGTCAGACCAAATTGCCTCCTCACTGGACATGTCGGTGCATCCGTGTCCTCCAGCGGAAAGGACATTTCTGTATTTCTGTTGACTGGATTTGTAGCCAGAGCAATGCCATCTGTCTGGTTCCCCCTGGGTTTCATTGATGTGTGCATGGAGCCCTAGGAGTGGTTTTACAAATAAATGTCTGTGTTCAACCTTATATCATGTGTAACAAGGAGAAAAATGGGAAAAAAAATAGCAGGAAAGCACAAACAGGTTGGGGAAGTAGGAAGTAGGTGGTAACATGGGAAAGAAGGCTTGGGAATCTGTAGATGGTGAAACAGAGCTAGATTTACTAGGTCCTTGGCCAGGCCCTCAAGAACTCCCTGAATGAAGCCCTGGGTAGCTCTAATAACCTTGGGTTATTATTATATATTATAATAATTATATATTATAATAATAACCCAAGGTTATTAGAGCTATTATTATCATTAGCACCATACTTGGTGGTGCTTTTTATTTTTGCCAGCCCAGGCAGGAAAGTTGTGAAACACTTCTCACCATTTAACTAGCAAAGAAGTATAGCTAGCCAGAAGTATAGTTGTAGTTCAAGTAGTAGAACATCATCCTTGAGCAAAAAAGCCAAATGAGATAATAAGGCCCTGAGTGCAAACCCTCATACTGGCACAAAACAAACAAACAAATGTTAACCTTAGGGGAAGCAAGTCCTTATTGAAATCCTTAAATAGGGGCTAGATAGATAACCAGGACTTCTTAGGTAGGTAAGTTGGAATTCTGCTTTGAATTATGAGAATCTACAGTCATTTCTCAGTCACAATCCATCCATATCTCTGGCACACAATAAGCAACTTGTTGGAGTATTGGAGGTACCTTGGCAGATCCTGTAGAGAAAACAGGAGGCTTGAACCCATTGAAATACTGTGGAATGAAGCAGCTTGGTTAGAAGAAAGCCAAGAGGAGATCGTTGTGTTTTTGTGGTTTTGAAAAATGATCTCAGAGTACAGCAGTGCTCATTTCAACGTTAGAACAGAATGAGCTGTGCCGCTGTAACAAGAAACCTCAATGGCTTCACAAGACAGCATTTTCCTCTCTTGCAGGCTGGCAAGGGCTTCACTGCACAAGGCTTCAGTGTAGGTGTGTTTCCTCACTCATCAAGTCACCTCAGCATAGGAAGGAAGGGAAGTCCCAGACAGCAGTTCTTACCTTGTCCCAGAAGTGGCCCTTTACTTCCATTCATGGAGGCTTGGCCGGACTAAATCATGTCTCAGACAATCTTCAAGAAAATATAAGAAATCAAGTTATCTATTAGATGAGCTCTGTTTCTGCCAGAATCTTCCACTCACTATATTTCCTGTATGCTGTGTGATTGTATTAAGTTCCATTTTCTAGCCAGTCCCTTCCCTTGATTTAATCTCACCATGTTTCTATGTCATCTAGAGTTGTGCACAGCTCACAGTTGGTAGGTGACCAGCTTGCTGAAAGGTAATCATGCAATTTATCCTCTAAGCCAACAAACACTTAAATTCCACTGAGACACCCCACTGGCTAACCTAACATTGTCCTGGGCACATCAAGTCATACAGTCATCACAACAGTCCCCAGGTGAAGCCAGGAAGTTGTATAGTTTCACAGGCCCATTGCTCGTTGCATAGGGCAATCTCTCTTTACTAAGAAGAAACAGAACTGAGCCTTTCTATAAGGTAGGTTCAGTTTTCAGCTACTACTTCTAGGAACTTTAATTCTCACAAGATCTCCCTCAGATGGGCACTATAACTATCTATATTACAGATAAAGAAACTGAGCCCCCCAAAAAAGGGAAAAAAAGAAGCTGAGCCACAAAAGGTATAGAGAAATGGTCCAGGTTATTCAACTAGAAGATAGGTAAACTGGGATTCAATCCTAAATAACCAGCCTTAAACATCTGCACTCTCAGCCACAGCACAAGCCATTCCTTCTTGTCAGATGGTTCCCCATCTGAGACAGAAACTAATGTGTGGAATTGAGTAGGTATTAATGAAAGGAATGAATGCATGAATGAATGAATGAACAATTCTTTGCTGAAAATATGACATCAGCCAGGTCTAAGCTGTGAAGGCAGGGCAGAATTGAAGAAACAAATCAGGACTAGAAGTCTGGGTGATGGGTTTGACCATAATTTTGTCTTTTGGATGTGAACATGCTCGTGAGCTTACTTGAAGATATCCCACCCTTCCCAGGGCTATCATGGAAAGCAAACAATAGGATGTAGGCAACGTTGTTTTTCAAAAACTGTAAAAATGCTGTGCAAATTACACACACACACACACACACACACACACACACACATATATATATATATATCAGTACTTGCATATGTAATCATTGTTAGCAATCAATAATAATTGCCACTCAACTCACCGTCTATGAGGCTGTACAGAAAAAACTACTTCATTTTCAAGATCCTGTCCCTGCCATGAGTGTCCAAGAAGGAGAGTATAGACAGACCCAACCCAGCCCATCTGTGGAGAAAGAGTTCAAGGGTATACGCTATTGTCAGTGCCATGCTTTTGTGTGTTGTTACTGTTGTTTGTAGTGATTTCTAAAGCTGGAGCTTTGGCAAGTATCAGAATTAATCCGGGTTTGTTGAGGATCAGAAGTGTCCAAGAGGCTTCATTCTGATTTTATTCCAGTCTCCTAAGATTTCCTCCAGAAGAGAATAGAGACAGGCTTCACCAGTCAGTTTGTGCTGTACTGAACCCTGGAAATTTGCTAAGAGAGCAAGTCTCCAATGGTCTCTTACACATACAAATGATAACTAAGCAATATGGTAGCTGTATTAACTTGATTAACATAATTCTATACTTTATCAAATTACATAATAGAATCATATCCCCCTAAAAGCATACAGGCTTTTTTGTTATTACACCTAAATAAGGCTGAGGGAAAATGAAAAGGAAGAAAGAAAAAGAGAAAGAGAATAAAGGAAAGAAGAAAAGGAAGGGGTTTTCTGACCATTTAGAGATTCATTTTATCATGTACCAGAAATCACCAACCCCATTTTTTTTTCTCAGCCAGCTTGCAGGCTTGGCCTGTGCACATCCCAGCCTCTCAGGCATCTCTGGGCTGCAACCTCCCAGGGGCAAACAGGGTTAGAAGGAAATAGAAACAGGTCCAGTTGTCAGGTCTTTATTGTTTCTCTATGGGCAGAGAGGGTTTATTTGCTCTGGTTTTCCATCTGGCTGTTAATATTTTGATAAAACATTGGATAAGCTGAAGTGCGAGAACCTGGGAAAGGTCTATTTCTGGTGTGAATAGTAATATTCACTGCTGTGTATTTCTGCGGCAAGACATAAGTAGTATTGCCAGAGAGAAAGATTTAGGGAAAGGCCCTTGTCCCGTGCAAAAACTGTTTCTAGAGCTCCCCAAGGCAGAGCAAGCCAAACTGACCTCTTCCCGGGCCCCAGGCCCCAGGCCCAGGGCTGCAAAAGGGTCCAGGAGCACAGTCACCTCACAAGACATAGCATGACTCCCTTCTTGACCCTTCCTTGGACCCCTGAGGCTTAGAACACAATGGAATTTTGCTCCTGAAGAAGTCAAGTTTGTTGCTCCATCAATGACTTGATCCAAAAAAGTGCCTGTGTCTTAATATATGTCCACGGTGCTGGTGTGAGCTAGCTCCTCTGGAAGTCTACTTGGGAAAATGCAAGGAAGAATAGTGGTGCCCTTTGCTCCATGTCCTGTACTCAAAGAAAGCTGGAAGACTTGGCATTTGCGTCTGTGCCCTCTGGTCTGGGGAGGGTTCAATTTTCTTGCAAGGGCTTCAAACAGGCAAAGCAGCCTGGCCAAAGAACCGCACTGCCACATTCAGTGACTTGGGGCCATTCCCTGTCACAATCACCAAACATTTTTTTTTCAGGGACAATCTCCCAGACTGGTCTGCAAACCTGAATGGGAACCAAGGCCTAGCTCTTGGAAAGATGCAGATTCCAAAGGGAAACCTATTGGTCCCTAGAAATTGCTCTCCATTTTCTAGTGTCAAGCTTGCTACCTCAGATTACAGCTTATTTGTGTTGGAAAAGACTAGGGCTGCTTTCCAAGCTGGGCATCTCCCCCAGGGGCACCGAGGTGAACGACACTGATGTAACAACCCAGCTTGAGCTTTGTAACCAGTTGTGGCAGGAGGAAGTGGGTTCATGGCCTTCCACAGGGCAGCCAGGCAAACGATTTGCCAGCTGAACAAATAGTTTGTGCATCTGCCCAGCAAGGGAACCCTTAGGAGTACTGGATGTTTCTTCATGCCTCTCTCTCCCTCCCTTTCTCCTTCCCTCCTACCTATCCTCCCTTTTCCCCTCCTCTTCCTCTTTAAGCAGTAATCCTTGCTGCTCTCTGTATGTAACAAGACTAGTTATTCTCTGGTTTGAAAGTTTGAAATGCAAGTTCTGCATGTGATATTGAGCATCAGCACCTCTTCAAGCTTCAGCGCTGTGTCTGATATCCAAAGTGTCTCCACCCCCAAGGCAGGGTTCCCCCTTTCTCTGACACACACACACACACAGAGAGAGAGAGAGAGAGAGAGAGAGAGAGCCCAGAGGAGCTGGAGCAAATGCAAACAGCATTTGCTAGGGATATTTGCTTTTCTTGGTGCAAAGATGGAGGAATATAATCAGTCAGCCACTGCTGGTGCAAAGGACAGAGACAGTGCCAGGGATAGCTGATGGCTGGATGTGCCAATGAAGCAGCAGCCTGCTACATACAGCCTCCAACCGGCCCCTGGTCAGTCTTTGTCTGGAAACTAGAGGGGAAATGAAGTTTTAAATTCTAAGCGGAAGATTCTCTGTGATGGTCTGGACTGTAAATCAGCACATGGGGGTGGGACTCCAGGTTTGGTTCTGAAGCCACCATGGGAGGGAGG